CAACTTTGATGATGGTTGTAACCACCTTTACATCATATAAAAATGATTGCAACACCTAGTCATAACTGCCTTTGCAACAACTTTGTTGGATTGCAACATGGAGCACTAAAGTAGTTTGGTATGGAAATGTAAGCATAAAACTCCAAATAAATTATTTTGTATTATTTACAATAGTGGCTATTGATTTCAATATATTAGAACTATTATAATCATTATTTATTTTACTATATGGATTTTGAAATTTATGTATCCTTTATTTATTATTTAACAGAATTGGCAAGGAAATTTATATTTCCATTAAGAAAAAGTCAAATGATTAATGATTTCTAAAATAAGATTAGTTATGAACATAACTTTACTAAAATAAACCTATCTATTTTTGTCAATTAATGATATATATTTTATTTTTTATTAATCAGAAACATTATATTAAGATTAACTGCTAATTCGGATATCTTTTCTGTGAATTAGAATATTAATATTTAAATTTTGCGGATATTTTTTTGTGAAACGAATAATTTCTGAGGGTTCACAACTATGTTTGTAAATCATATGATGTTAAAAATGTTAAAAATAAATTTTGGGAATTCAATTTTGTTAACTGTGATCATCATCCACATACATGCATGACTCATGATTACTCGTGCATGAATTATCTAACCAAATTTAATTGTTGCAGATAATGTGCTCCGTGCAGCATAATAGACAAGAAGGTTACACACGTTCATTTTTATTTTTATCTACTACTACCATTTATTTTTCGACATCCTCCAGATATTTTTCTATTTTTGATTTGATGGTTAATATTGAGTTGGTTTTTGTATTAAAAACAAGTGACAAATCCATTCAACAATCAATCATTTATTAAATTGTCATTAATGAAAATAAAATATTGCAAAAAATACTTTATCTGCTTTTTTTTGGTTAGTGTTATCTAATAATGGATTAGAGTTGCCAACTTGTCTTTTGTATTGATGGTAGGTTAGATTACTTTTCATGACCAAATAAATTTCTTGAAAGGGTTTTTTATTTCCTTTTCAATAATCATTGATATGAAACAGTATCCAAGGATCGAACTAGGGTCCCATTTACCATCGACCGATCAGTTATTCTTGAAATTATTGGGGTGTGTCATAAAAGAAATTACAAGTTCCTTAATTTTTATCATTTGTTATCATATTATTAATTCATATTTCTTTATTTGTTAATCTTTATTATATATTTATATCTCTTTATTTAGTCAATTGTAAGAAAGTTCCATTACAAATTTCTTGCTCGTGGACTTGTCCCGATACCTTTACTTTGTTACTGGTTCGAAAAAATGTGTGCCAGGAAGGAAGTGTAAGCGTAATAATAATAAATGTGTAGTTAGAACAAATGACGATTATAGTAATAGATGGTAGTACAGGTAAGCCTTGTGTAATATAATGTGAACTTTGTTGCACTTATAAATAAACCCTTTCAATTCAATTTATTTCATTATAAATTTGAATGTCTTTTGAACCTGAGAACGTAAAATCATTATTACCGCCAGGTATTGCTCTTTTACCCGGTGAAAAAATAGAGTTTATAGATAAAACAAATGCGATCAAATTATCTAAAGAAACTTCAAATGGATTCATTGAATGCGGATATGATGATGAATTTTGCGGCCAAAAGGATATTGTAAATGAAGTAAATTCCCACATCTCATTATTATTATTATTATTATTATATTATATTATATATATGCAACTAACAATAAAATTTTCATATTTCAAGTCCATTGTATTGATAACAAATTATAGAACATGTTATCATCCCATAAGAAATCACTCTGATAACCTTTCCTCGACGTCTTTAACCACCGAATCAACTTCAATAATTTCACTCACCATTCAAATTCCTCACCTTTCTATTTCCTCGTTAGAAGAATCACAATCACAAATTACAATATCACTAAAATTTTTTCCATTTAGATATTTATTCACTTTTCCAAAGTCTAATTCAACAAAGTTTTCTGGAAATACTGTTAATCAATATTTATGTGTGGAATTTGGTTCTATCTTAAAAGAAAATGTAAATACCGTTGTATTGGAAGATGTTTTTGCTTTTCGTATGGGAGAAAGTTATATTTCTCAAAGCAATGATTTTGATCACAATAATAATAGCGGCCTCGCGGGAAAAACAACTAGAAATAAAAATGATAACAATAAAAACAAAACCATCAAGAGAAGAAAAAATCGTGATAAAATGGAGGAAAAAATATTATCAGAATTATTTTCAGAATTAAGTAATGATAATAATGATTACGATGTAGACGAGGATGAGAATGATGGAATGGAACATGAAAATCAACTTGCCTGTAAAGGAATAAATGAAGAAATATTTCAATGTTATAAGAAATTAGGGTGGACATCAGGTTATCAAATTGAGAAGGAGTTTAAACGTTTGAAATTGGATAATGAATCATGGTAAATTTACGATTTTATAAATATAACAATAATAACAATACTTTATTTAATAATAAATTTATTCATTATTAATATTAATATTAAGGAATATTTTACGTGTTAATATGGATTATTCTTTATCGCAAACATATCCACAAGATTTTATTTTACCTTCCAAAATTTTAAAAAATCACGAATTGAAGAAAAAACAAGGGCTTGATAGTTTTTTTTATAAACTAGCAAATTTTCGTAATAGATTTCCTGTCGTTTGTTGGAAAAAAGGTCATCATGTTTTGATGCGTAGTGCTCAACCAATGGTAGGAATTTTTTCTTCACGTGGTTTGGAAGACGAAATTTTAATTCAAGAGATTTTAGGTACAGTCAGTGAAGAGGAACGAGAAATAGCTGAAGCAAAAAAAGGGAGGTTGGATTTTGAAGTAGGAAGTACTTCACATGGTAAACTTACTAGAAATCTTGCAGATTTTGATGAAAAATGTCAAATTAAAATGTGCATTTTGGATGCAAGAAATTACACTTCTGCTTTATCAAATATTTATAATGGCGGTGGTTATGAAAATACGGGTGGGTAAATTTCTTTAGAATTTAATCTTTTAAAAAAAATGATTAATTGATTTCAAAAGTTTTTTTGTTAAATAGATTTTTATCCGCAAAATACTACATTGGAATGGTTGAATCTTCCAAATATTCATGCTATTTCAAATGCACATACAAAACTATTACGAGAAATAGCAACGAATTCTTCGTCACCCAATTGGTTTTCAATATTAGAGTCTACTGGATGGTTAAATTGTGTAGCTGGCTTGCTCAAAGCAGCAGGTGGAAAAAATGGAGTTGTATCCAAGATAATTGATGAGGATGAGAGTGTGCTAGTGCATTGTACTGATGGTTGGGATAGAACACCACAATTAGTTTCACTTGCACAAATAATGTTAGACCCATATTATCGTACTTTGAAAGGGTTTAGAGTATTAATTGAAAAAGAATGGATTACTTTTGGTCATCAGTTTAGAGCACGTAGTGAACTTCCAACTAAATTACATTATGACTATTCAACACCGTCAACATCACCAGCATCAGATATAAATTCAACAGCACCCGTTCCATCACCTATTTTTCTTTTGTTCTTAACATGTGTTCATCATCTTTTAGAGCAATTTCCTGCTTCATTTGAGTTCAACGATTTCTTGTTGCTTTGTTTAGCTCGTGCAGCGGCTGGAAATTCGCCTTTTGGAGATTTTCTATGCAATTCCGAACTTGAAAGAGAAACAATTAGATTGCGTGAAAGAACTAGAAGCATATGGTCATGGGTGCATGAACATCGACGATGGTTCAAAAATGAACGATATCAGAAAATATCATCGTCGTCACCATCATCCAAAACTAACAATAATTATAATAATTGTTTTCGCTTTGATCGTGCATGGAAAAAAGAAGTGTTACGCCCCGATACTGGTGCCAGGGTAGTCACATTATGGTCTGATTATTATTTTCCAAAAGATGATCATTCAATAGCGTTGTTGTCTGTACCACCTGGACCAGAGATTATGCTTCCTTCAGAAATTAAAATACCCGAGAAATTATTATCTATATGTAAATCATTGATACTCAACAGTAATAAACTTAACAATAAAAAGATTAATAATAAATCAAGTAGTTCTAATTTTGCATCAGAAAACAATGGTGATAAGGGAAGTGAAGATGATTATGATAATGACAAGATTTATGTTGAAGATATGTTTCTTAATTCAATAATACAGGATGGTGCATCTATAAATAACGATACGGCAGATATTTCCACATCTTCACTTTTAGATCAATCAGGCTATGTTGACTTAAAATATTTCCACTCGAACAAAGTTTCCTTAAAATTATTAAGAAAAACAATTGAATCGTTAGCATTAGATTGTTATGACAACGATGATGAGGATTATAGTGAAGAAGAAGAATATGATGATGTTTATTTTAAAGAAATGCACGAAAGGAATAAAGAAAAGTATAATGGAGAAAGATGTGAGAACACCTGGGTTAATTTAACATGTCCACACGAGAAAGACAAAATAAAACTTTCACAAACTTTAAAAAACCTTTTACATGAAGCACAAACAGAAGATTCATTTTCCCATCATAAGATTTGTGGTAATAGTGATGGTGATGGAGGTGGTATTAGTAGTAGTAATAAAAATAATAATGATGGTGGCATTATTAATGATAATGGTAACAGTAGTGGTAAATTACATAAAAAATCTCATTCGCATATTTATATTGCATCATCTACTTATAAAAGTTGTAGAGAAACAGCTATTCCAATTTCCAATAACTCTATGCATTTTCCATCTGAAGGTTCATTAACACCATTAACATCAAATGGCATAACGCCAAATAATTCACCTGATCTTAGTGACTTTGTAATTATTGAAAGCTAAAAAATATTTTTTTCATAGTAATTATGCGTACTTATATATATTACGCATTTATTCATACATTCATTACATATTTATAATTTATACATTAGCGTTTATAATATACACATTCATACGTTATACATTTATATATATTTATTTATATTTAAAAATAAACAAAAAAATGTTAAAAACGATATCGATTTTTTATCATTTACACCCTATTTGTAGGGAAGAGTTCAAACTTCCTCGGGAAAAAATTTCAGAAACAATTTTGATAAAAATAATTGTTTTACAAAGCATGTTTTTTAATTTCTTGCAAATATCTAATTTTTTTTTACCAACATATAAACTTCATATTCTTTTAACGAATGAACTATTTTATCGTTATTTCTAAAATTCAAATTATTTTCATAAATATCCCAACCCTTTGGATCATAAAGAATATAAGGAAGGTAGGTTCATTGTTAATGCCATTAAATGTATTTAGATTTGTACATTATTCACGTAATCAATATCCTGAGAGTTTTTAACTCTACTTAGTATTGAATTAGTGTTAGACTTTTATCAATCCTAAAAATAAATCTTTTGTAGTTTGAATCCAATAATGCTCATTTGGAGGACTATCTTTTGTATTCCAACAAACTGGATTATAAGAAGCTCTTTATATAATTATTTATTAAAGCTTTTTTGAGAGGTGTTATCGTATCGTAGAAGTTTATAGAATTAATTTGCTCGAATCTTATCAATGAAATTATATATTCTTCAATCCTCTTTGCTCCACTCAGAAATATCTTTTTCATTTTATCCTATTCCTCACTGCATAACCTAAATATCAATCTCACCAAATTCTAAAACATCTCTTTCCAATATGGATATGAACATGGTTCTTTCAATCATTGAGATATCATTGGATTTCAAAATGATTGATATTTGATGAAATTTTATGAATTTAAATCAAATTCAATCGGATCCATTCTTTTTCACCTTATAATGAATGATTTTGTAGATCCTCAATCAATCCATTAAAATCTAATTTGTCACAAGCTTCAAGAAGTTCGAGGATTCATATGCTTCCAAATTATCTATATTAATAATTCTATCTTTTAAAATATAAACAATTTTGGAATATTGTTTAACACAAATATCATTATTTTTAATGAGTTGAATTGATTAATTCTTACATTAAAAGAACGATAAAATTTCTTTTTTTTCAAATAAAAAGTACTGTCATCTGATTCTTTGTCCAATTATCTGATAAAACTTGCATTAGAACTTGCTTTCAAAATGGTAGAGTGAGCTTTGAAAGTTTTATCAACCTGGTCTACTCCAGCCCTGATTTTTACATCATAAAAAACTGGTTCATTCAAAAACTTTGCCAAATCATTTGCAAGTTTCTCAATATATTTTAATGATAAAAGATCTTTGTTGGAATTAATTAGGTTGTTGATTTAGACATTTTGAAAATAGCTGAATTTTTTTCGTGAATCTACCCCAACATAATTTTGGGGTACATCCCCTTAATAAATTTAATAATAATAATTTTTTTTCCGATCAAAAAAATCTCTACTAGATTATTTGTAAAGAATTTTGGATATACAAAAAATATGCGTTCACTTGTAAAACCACAAATTCTTTCACAGTCGCCAACAAGGTTTGTTTGTCTATGCTTAAAGAAAAAAAAGGAAGATATATGTAATAACTAAAGTGATGTATTTATATACTTCATTACCCTCTTTAGTTTCATTAAACATCTTCGTTCACTTGGTATCAACGCTTTTCATGCAACATTTAACTCTAAAACTGGAAAAATTGAGGCCTCACATCCTGAGGTTAAAGCTATTGGAGAGTAAGATTTTGATGATATTTGTACGCATGAAAGAGTATTTATTATTGTCATTAAATAAGTGTCATTTATTTATTTATAGATATTTTATAGATGAAGGTTGGGACTTTGATAAACATGAAGGATTTTTTGGACAGGTGATTTTATTAGTGTAATCGTTGCTTTAATAAAAGTTCTTAATTTTTAATCATTTATCAATATTATTTATTATCTTCAATATTATTAGATTGGACC